GTCTACTAAAATCGTTCTTCGTGTGCATTTCCCAAGTACAGTACGCGACCGGTACGTAAGGTCAAAACAAACTTGCCAAGAAAACAATGATTCACTTGACGTCCACCAGCTACATAACTCAATACTACCCCATTGTTAAGGATCCTCTCTTGATCCCCTCAATTTATTGACAAACAGGTTATCTAAAAATACATCAGAAGCTTACAACTGCCGTTTCTGTAATCATCCGACGGTTATTTGGGAGCTGTGGATGGTCGACGTCATTCTCGGATTGCTTCCCACTCCCATCATGTTTCCTGTTCAGTGAAGTTGCTCTCGCTCCAAACATATTTTAGAATTGAATTTCTTCTCCGACCTCCTCTATGACCTCTAAAATGACGACCACGAATACTGCAACCTCAAGTACAGCTGCTGGGAGCGACGACGCAACAAGTTTTGCCAAAGGACGAAGAAAAAACGAGTCTAGTTCAGGTGCGTAAAGTTGTAGTTCACTTTTCCCTTCCATTGTTTCCTCACCTTCATTCTCAGACTTTAATATGAGCGCAAACGAGAAGAGAGAATCAGATTTATCCCAAATGACCGCGGTCGAACCTCCAGAACACCGAAATTCGACGCTAGCAGAATTGCCTCCGCTCCACTTCAGCTATCGCTGGTGGGCTGTGGCACTCTACATTACCTTCCTTATATTTTGTAACGTGGTCGTTCCATGTGTATTGTTCTATCCCTTACATGTTTGTGAGTTCTTTATCTCGTTCAAGCTACCCGCAACGTTCACTGACTTTGATGCATCGAATAGACACCCGAATATCTGACAAAGAACTTATCGGTATCGGCTCAGCCGCTCTAGGAGTATCAAGCTGTTTCGACGCTCCATTTAGGCTCTATCGTCGTACGTCCCCTTCTACTTCGTCTCTCCGCAGCACCGTTTAACCCACTTTACTCGTCAGTAACACGGCACCGAACCAAGTACGGCCCTCTCATAACCGACACATGGTGGCACCTTGACTTCGTGATGTGGACATACACACTAGGCCTTCTCGTCTTTGCATTCCCGTTAGCCATTGCACCTGCCATTGCATTCTACGATTTCTTCCTCATGTCTACCATGATGCTCGTCGGACCAGTCGGAGTCGTATTTTTAGTATCCCTGTTCGCGCCGAAACTACCCTTCCTAGTGTCTTCAGATCCGAAAGGTGAAACAATGAAGCCCGCGGCATATTACACGTTAGAGGATGTCGGAGCGGTAGATTTTGAAGGAGGCAGAGAATGGAGGAAGAATGTACAAGCTAGGTAATTGCCCTTCTCATCTTTCCGTCATGGTTCGATACTAATTCCTATGAAAGATACAACATCTCACCGCCTTTCCGCTCATTAATGTATATACAAACCGTATATTGGACATTCATGGCTGCTGTCTATTGCGGAATCACAGCTGCGGTGACATGGACGACTAATCTGGCATGGGCGTTTGGATGGGTTCTGGGACAATTCTTTATTTGGGCGCTGTTCAGTGGAGTCATATCTTATTTCATCTCTAAATGGGGCCTTGCAAGGGAGAAGGTTTGGTGGGAAGCACGTCAAAATCAGATCGAGAAGGTATCGGCGTAGCGCCTGTTGTGTCATTGTTTTGTATATGGGAGGTTTTATAACATAACCTTTAGATTCTTCTTGTAGAATACACGATGTAATATGGAATACCGCACATACATACTGTATCAATGAACCTTTCTGCTTTGTAGTGCTCGGGAGGAGTTGGGTTTACATGGCTTCGGGAAACTCCGACGCGACTTGGTCACAACTCTCATCATCTTTGCTTGGGTGTAACCATACCCGTTCTAGTAATCACAGCTTCATATATCGATCATAGTCGGCGATTTAGACACTTCGTCGGGTTTAGCAGCTTACTTCTAAGCCTCGTTGCCGTTGTGCTTCCAATTATGCTGTCGAAATCGATGAAAGAAATCCAGTGCATTCTTGGTTCGTGTAGCGCATTGTATATGTATTTGCCGATAACCCAGGACGCAGCTCGTCCTTGAAATCACTGGTAGATGTGGTCTCGGGTGTTTGCCTTCACTTCGCTCGCCCACATTGTTCGATGCAGGTCAAATATATTCGAATTAACAGGTATGAACCTTGACATTGGCTCTTGTACACCTGTTGCCACCATTTCTCGTAGTAGTCGAATCCGAGTCTCGGTTTACCTTGCTCCATTCCTCAGTGGACCGTTGTCCCTGTCAATCCGGAGTGTGAGGAAGGTATGAAGATCCGGAACCCAAGATACAAACGTTGACAACGTTCTTGTTCATGTTGCCGTTACTAGCAGAGTTATTTGAATGCTTCATTGAAAATGATATCGATAAACCTTGAGCGCATAACGTTTCTGGCTCTTCGAAGGTCTTCGAGCGTCTTCAGGTTCGCCCCAGTCCCAAGTATCGCCCCTTTCCAGATTGCTCAAACATTCTTGCAGTGGAGCCATTGTCATTCTGTGGCGTACGCTGCCAGGGCCAAACTGTCGATCCACACGGAATTTGCGGAAGTCGAGACAAAAAGAAAATCCGAAAACCGGACCGATTTCGGACTTCGGAGCTTACGCTTACCATCGCTGCTTTTATCGATTTCGTATACCAAGTTCTGGACCTCTCTTGAACCGCTACCACCACCACGAGTTGAACACCCGTCTACGCCTATTTTTTGGCACTTCTTTCTTCTTTCTCTTCTTTTTTTATAACCTATCATGGGTAACTCTTCATCGACCCAGAACGGCGGAGGCGGTCTTCGACGATTCTCTTCTCCAAACCCCAATCCCAAATCATATTCGGACCGTGAACGAGAACGAACATCTCATTTACATACCCCTCGACCTCACCGTTCGCTCAGAGCAAAGAAAAAGTCGCTCGAATTGCCAGATCTTGCGCCGCTTTCTTTGAATCCATACCAGAACAGTCAACCTACAACACCCTATCGAAGTATTCCTGTACCTATTCCCCCTCAGGTACGACAGGGATCGTTATTTTGGAACGAGGGACAGCCTGTAGATCCGGACTACAGAAGCCGAAAGAGGACTTCGAATAACAGCTCCAGGCAACCTTCAACGCAATCGAGTTTCGTCTCGTCACAACATACACAATCGCGACCGCACTCGTATCGAACCCAGGAGTCTCCGTTGACGACACCACTACTATCTTCAACTGAGGATGGCGCTGCGCGCGACGAAGAGAAGGAGAATGTGGTGAATTCTGGACAATATAACCCCTTTACTTCTTTACGAGAGGCTCTTCCGGTGAAGAAGACAATATCGCCAGCGATTTCAGGAGAGCTGGTAGATAAGGAAGTCCTCGAGAAAAAGGAAAGAGAGAGCTTGGATGGCGATGAAGTTATGGTCAAGATATCATGGCATGGAGGAGGCACCAATGTATTCCTGGCCAGGCAAGGGGATGATGAATGGAGAGGAAGACGGCGTATGGACAGGGAGTAAGCCGTTTTTTTCGTGCCCCCTTTCGCTTGCACCGTGCTAACACCATAAACTTTCATTTTAGATCACCAGACTCGAACACATTCAGCACAACCATATTCCTACGTTCTGGTACACATCATCTTCGTTTCCTAGTCGACGACCAATGGCGCGTAGCGGACGACTTGCCGACCACCGTCGACCAAGGAAGGTGGGCTGGCAAATTACGTCGCAGTTGGTCCTGGGTTCGACGGCAGTGCTCCACCTACCGCTACGTCACTATCTAAAATCGCCGCAGCTTCGCCGCCATCGCCACCACCTCAGAGGCAGGGCTACTCCTTCTGGACAGACGATGACGATAATGACTTTGCCGAGAAACCTAACGCGTCAGTCAAGTTTGCACCTTATACCCCTCAGTGGACTTCGGAGATACCGCTCGAGTTGATAGAGGCTGCTCAGCAGGAAGAAGCCTTCTTGGCACATCAACAGTCGTATCAAGGCTATGAACAGCCAGGTCGAGGCCGGACACAACATGTGAACGGTTTCGTACCCCTCCCAAATATCCCACCTGCGCCGAGGTTACCTAGGATCTTGGACAAGCTGATATTGAATCAGCCGATTAAGGTTGGCGTGAGTCAGGGCGTAGCGTTGGCTGGTGCGAATTTGGTACCTGGGACCGGGAAAGTCGGTGAACGTGAGAGGAGAAGAGAGAGAGATAAGAGGAATTTGGGGATGACTACGCATGCCGCTGAGGAGAGAGAAGAGAGGGAGCGTCCAGAGAGGCCATTACCGGTGACGACGGCTTCTGGAACGGACGTTTCTGCGTCGAGGAGTTCGACTGATAGCGCTGGGCCTTCAGGGAGCAGTCGACCGATGTCTCCACCAAGAGTCAGTCTTAGTGAGAGACCTATGTCGCCTCCCAGAGCCAGAGGACCTCCTGCCATACCGACTGTGGTGGATAATAGGACGATTGCTGACGATACGTCAGTGCTACCTGTCCCAAGCCACGTCGTGCTGCACCACTTGTGTACTAGTGCGATTAAGAATGGTGTGCTTGCTGTAGGAGAGACCGTGAGGTATAGGAAGAAGGTTCGTCTCATTGGCCTGGGTAATTGTTCAAAGACTGATCTCTCCGCGTCTAGTATTTAACAACTATCTATTACAAGCCCACATAAGTGATTTGTGTGGCACCACTATCTAGTATTGGAAGGTAAGACTCTCTATCCCGTGCTTCCTCTCATGTCCTGATAGTTTTTCGCAGGATTAACTCACGATACTTATGGGATCTACCTACCTCGTAACGAGGATATGATATCGACTACGCAATGATTCCCAAGATGTAGCTGTTTTGCTTGCCATTTGACCCAGGAACGCGATAGCGGTTCTTCTGGGCATACACGACCATGTAACGCTTTGGCATGCTTTAGTTAGGAGCATAGTACTACAAGATGTTTGTTGAGGATTGGATTGTATGTATTAAAGTAGGTTATTGGATTTCAATCACTGAAATACATGAGATTGTGTACCCCACGTTTTTATTTAAGTCAGGTCCCTGGTAGTATATCGGTTAGTACACGCGCCTGTCACTACTGCTGACGCGCGAAAGCTGGGTTCGACTCCCAGCCAGGGAGATGTTTTGGTTTATTTCTTTTACTTACATTGTCAACTGTCTTTTCTTACCTCCTTTGTAACAGAGATTCGGAACTTCGCAAAAAAAAATATGGACGAACTTGCAGCCTGAAAATGTCTGACGGGGAAGAGTACTCGAAGCTTGACATGAAGTGCTGACGTAAACTCTCGACCGAAATTTCCCGTCCCCGACGTCCAACTGTGTCCTCTTTCCTCAAAATACTGGCAAGTCGTCCTCACATTCCTGTCATTTGGAGTATTAACTGCTGGTGTATCTGCTTTTTATAGGTCTAACTCTCACTCTCCTTGAGTCTCGCGACCAGTTATTAATCTAATTTCTACTCAATGGTCTCGCAAACATTAAACGTGAGCTGTAAAATTCTAATGCAGTACGAACGAGTTTACTGACAGTCTACCAGGTCGCCCGTTACACGGCTCTTTTCACCGGTGTTATCTACGGGTTCTACCACAGACGGACGCTTCAAGCAGCCCATGACGAGAAGAAACTGGAGCACGCGAAGCATGAGCGAGAACAGTTGATTGCACAGGCCAAGGAGGCATGGAAAAAGAAGCAGGCTTCAGGAAAACCTTCGAATGATGGTGGTGAGTCTTTCGAGAATCCCAGGCGTATGTCATGTTCATTGACATGGACACGGTTACAGTCATAACAGACCCGGAAGACCCTCGATTCGACTTGGAGAAGTTACTAGTGAAATGGGAGACCGCCGCATAATCAATAATATTCATTTGTGTACCCCTTATCACCTCTTGCATGCATGCACTCGTCGGTCGTCGTCGTCACTAGGCATATAGATTGGCAATTGGACTCTATTCGTATCAAGTCCACAGAGCTTGGCTTCATCTCATCTTCACCTTTAGGGAATCTTCCCAAAGTACTGCATAATGCTCCTGTGACTTTGTCGCATGAAATGTAGATAGAATTTATGCTATTATTGTTGAGAGAAAAAAGGTCTTTCTTTGAACGTGAGAATCTAGGATTGACGGTGAACGCGTCGTTGTCGCGTCTTTTCTTGCTCTTGACCGCCACGTTCGCTACATCTCGTATACCATGAAACCCCAAGTTGAAGAAGTTGAGGATGATCTAGCTGCTGAGGAAGAGAACAAGCTCATTAATGAGGTATGTATAATATCTAAGAAGCTGTATTAGCAGACTGACGGTCGAGAACCAGGAATACAAAGTCTGGTAAAAATTCTCCAAACATGACCGAGTCACCAGAGGAAATCTCACCAAGAATACAGGAAGAAGAATGCACCTTATCTCTATGACCTAGTAATCACGCATGCCCTTGACTGGCCTTCATTGACCTGCCAGTGGTTCCCAGACAAAGAATCGTATGTCCTACCTCATCTCGCGGGAAAAATTCAACCAAACCTCTTTCGCAGACCAGCCAACAAGTCGTACACAGTCCACCGTCTCCTCCTAGGTACCCATACTTCTGGACAAGCCCAAGACTACCTCCAAATTGCCACAGTTTCCATTCCCAAACGCGACAACTCTGCTTCATCACAAAAACTATCCAGGAACGACTATGACGATGAGCGTGGAGAACTCGGTGGGCATACTATTCCACCTGCGCCTAGGATTCAGGTTACACAAAAGATCAATCATGCGGGAGAAGTCAATCGCGCGAGGTATATGCCTCAGAATCCGGATTTAATTGCGACAAAGGCAGTTAGTGGGGAGGTGTTGGTGTTTGACAGGACGAAGCACCCGAGTGAGCCTGAGAGAGATGGAGTGTGTAGGCCTGATATCAGGTTGGTTGGGCAGAGTCGTGAAGGGTGAGTATAAGGTTCGTTCATGTTCTGGTTAGTTTGCTCAGAGCTGGGAATAGTTATGGACTTGCTTGGAACCCGAATAAGGCTGGACACATTTTGGGCGCGTCGGAGGATATGACAGTCTGTCATTGGTACGTTTTTGGTATATCTTGATGCTTGTGGTGATGTTCTCAACGTCCTGCAGGGATGTCAATTCGTACACCAAAGCAAAGACTTCCATTGAACCTACCAATGTCTTTAAAGGACATGCCTCAGTCGTCGGGGTAAGTACTCAAGACTAATCCCCAGACTACCCATACTCAACATCTGTACAGGATGTTGACTGGCACGCAACCAAAGAGAACATTTTTGCTAGCGTCGGTGACGATAAAATGCTCATGATGTGCGTGTTGCAAACCCATACGTGGACTCCTATTTACTGAGATACGATCTACTTCATCCAGCTGGGATACCAGAACGCCCGGAGAGCCAGTGACCAAGATACAAGCCCATGACCGAGAGATCTTGGCTGTCGCATACAGCCCTGCCTCTGAACATCTCATCGTCACAGGCAGCGGTGATCATGTACGTTTTACGTCTTTCAGACGCTGTTTTCTGTACTAACGGCTACGCGCTGGACAACAGACGGCCATTCTACACGACACTCGCTCTCCCCACAAGAAGCTTCATGTTTTTGAGGGTCATCAAGATGAAGTACTTCACCTAGCTTGGTCTCCTCACAACCCAACCATCTTCGCCTCGGCGTCGAGTGACAGGAGAGTAAATATATGGGATCTCTCTCTGATTGGTCAAGAACAGACCCCGGATGACCAGGAAGATGGGCCGCCCGAGCTGTTATTTGTTCACGGAGGTGCTTTCAGCTTCGTTTTCAGTTCGAGACCGTGACTAAACAAATATATGTCTAGGACACACTTCTCGCCCGACAGATTTCTGCTGGGCTCCTGGCACAGGAGAAAACTGGACTGCAGCTAGTACCTCTGAAGATAATGTTGTTATGATCTGGCAACCTACGATGCGGGTCTGGGCAGGCCCCGAGGTTAAAGTCGACGTGACTGAATTGGAAGTGGATGCTATGGAAGGTGTCGAGGCTACCAGTTCCAATGCTAATGCAGAAGACTCGTCCAAGGGTAAACAGAAGGAGAAGGAAGGCGAAGAGAAAGAGGACGGTGTAATGGAAGAGTAGTGTGTATATACCTTGTCCCTGTGCCTGTGCTCAACTGTTCAATCATCTTTTGTGTTCCTATAAACCAATGGAAATATGGACTGGATTGAGATGAGATGCGCAATAAAAACTGATGTACAAGTGTGACCCCTGGTCAATAATAACAATGCCCTTCCAACACGTCGTATCGAATGCCAGCCATGCGCTGGCCAAATCGCGAGCATAGCACGCTCAATTTTGAAAGTTTCACAGGAATATCAGTCTGGCGAGTTCGAATAGAACTGGAGATATTCAGTCAGCTCAAGCAAAGTGTCTCGAATTCACCGACACATACCTCCTCCGCACACGACGAATAGAACAACCCCTAGTGCCCATACGCCTACTGGACTTCGCTTTGAAAGCTTCTCCTGCCGCGACATGTGTGTGGGTTTCTTTCCTTCCCTTGCATCTTTAGCGAACTTTGCGTTACGCTGTCGCATCTCGAATTCGGTAGGCTGTTTTCAAAGTATTTTTCGTTAGCTTTATCTTGTCTTCGAGAAGAAATTACGATCTTACCATTTTAAGTACGGTAAGGAGGGTAAGGAGCGAGTGTGTATGCAAGCAGATGAGAGTTGAAGGTAAAATAGAGATTTCAGGGCTAACGTGGCAATGTGGAACGCGACACGTCGAGGGTCTGTGCCTAAATCCGGTTTATCTAATCTTATCCGGCTCTTCCTCTACCACCATGTTCTCAGAATTCTCCAGCGAAATTCCGGTTCAGCTGCTCTTACCATGCGGCCTTTCGAAGTGAACCTTTGAGATTGTTGCTCACCAATCTGAGGTAGAAACATAGCTCCTCAAATTTGACTCAAGCTGTTGGATTCTCCCGCTGTCAATGCGAGCGTATAATCAACGGTCTTGTCCTGGAATCGGAATAGCAAACCTTCTTATTTGTAACGAGAGTGTCGATTGAGCTCGCCCACAGCACAAGTGGTGATAAACTACCTGATGGTGGATCTGATTTCCGACAGTGGCAGTCAATGAAGACAAGGCATACCGCTTTGAACAGGAATCGGACCGATGGTAAAGCGCGATCGCCGTATCCATTTCACATACCATCAAAACGAAAATTAAAACAGAGCCTCTGTAAGTCGAATGTTGTATAATTTTCAGGATTGACTCTATCTTAATCCGCTTTAGATGTGCCCAGGGTATATTGATGGGTCTCGTGAACAGAGACCCGACGTGAAGCACACCATTCCTGGACAAGGGCGCTTCCTAACAAGGTAAGTACCTTATACTCGCCAGAAAAAGTAGTGATATGCTGAGGACGCTTAAGCCAGTATAAATACTTTGGGAAAGGTATCGAGCAGAGCAGCTTCGGGGTGCGCAACCAGCTCAGAACATCCAGAAGACCAGAACAATTTCGTTCTTCTTGACCATCTGCTTTTCTCTGCTCACGTACAGTGACATCTCCTATCAATACCTCGAAGCGTATTGTTTCGACGCTCCGCTAAACAATAAACCGACGCTGCCATTGTTATCTCAAGAACAATAGGCGCCCTCTCGTGATCCCTCACACATTTCCACGCCTATCCGACTTTATTGTCATTTGGTGTACATACACGCGCCTACAATCGGCCATATAACCCGGGAAGACCCACTTTGACACCTCAGCTGGCTCTTTCCCCCCATTTCACGATCAAAAGGCCTCCTCAGTGACGCCTTTCCTTCTCAACTCGTTCCATCTCGTCAGTCAACGACGCTTTCGTATCTATACCTATACGCCTATCCTATCCCTCAAATATCCATCTAATAATCATCTCCATGTCTTCTTACACCTACCAACCACCCACTTCCCCAACCTACGGCTTCTTCCCCGCCGGAATCACTTCCCCGAACGCGTTCCCTTCCTTCCATCACACGCCCCGCGAGACACATGCGATGTATGCCGCAGCATTTACACCATCATCACACTCAGGCTCCTCGCATCCGGGAATGCAGGCGCAGCAGTCGCATGGATCCCAAAAGAAGTTTTCGACGAGGAAGTGAACTTCCTGTTTG